TATGTACTGTTTTCCACCCCCATAGACCAATTTCAATGGTGGCTGAAGTGACTCCTGTAAATGATTTGTCTCTCTCACCAACGGAAGTTGGACCAATAAAATATATTGCCTCACCCACCTTGTCTCTCTAATATCCTGGGAGCAACACAGCTCCAATAACACAGCATAAATATAAATGATAAAGTCTTTGGTGATACTCCATAATGCATAGTATTGTATAAATACATTGTAAATACTAAGAGATTGTGCACATAATGTAAAGCCAGCAGATCATTACTTTTTCCTGGTGCAAATTTCCACCTTAATATTAGCATAATATTTACACCCTAAATGGCAGAGGTAAGGCCAAGGAACTCACTCTTACAATGGACAGAGCTTGAAGAAGGAGGGGTTATCCATGAGAGTGATGTAAACACATTTGCAATAAATTAGCCAAAACCCTGTTTGTAAGCTCCCAGTGATGGTTGCTGTCAGAGAGGGAAAGGGACTTGGGTTTCTAGCTGGGTGAAAAGGATTGTGAATATAAGAAACTGAAGTAAACAGAAGTCATTTCAATTACCATAAATAAGGGCAGGGGGAGGAAAGGAAAAGCACAAAAAGTGACCAGGAGCAAAAGAGAAACTAGGGAAGAAAAGAAGTCTCAAAGCATAGAAATTGCCCCTGTCGTCTGAGGGTATGTCCTCACAGTACAGTTAGCTCAGGTTCTTAGTCATGGGTTGCCCCTGTAGCCCCCTCTCATCCACAGACACAAACATCTCACCTGAATTTAGTGGTGCTTGCATTCAGGCACAGCTGGGAGTATGGGTTAGAGCCTGCTTTCATTCTGAGTGGTAACCAGCTGCCTTTGCTGTGAGCATACAAACTGACTCACTTCAGCACTGAGAGTCCTCCACTGCCTTCCCACAATTCCCCCCCATATGCCCAGAAGGACAAACAAGCTTGCCCATAATTCACTAGGAAAGAATCCTAGCACTTACAGCAGCATAAAGAACCATGGGATATGCCCCCAGAAGCTATAGTGACAAATGGAGAAGTGCAGCATCATTGATGACAGAGTAACTGAGGTATGGCTTTGCATTGTGGCTGCTCACGCCTGGGCTACACTAACTCGGGGCCTCAGACTCAAGTGCTGATCACTTAGGGTACCTGTGTCATGAAGACCTATGTTAATGGTATGAAAACAAATAGAAAAATAAGAATCAGCATCTAAGCCAGGGTGAGATGTAGCATAAGCACCATTTACTGCTATCATTTCATGGCTTAGGAAAGGAAATTGGTCTTGTCCATCTCATCTATGTAATTTCATAAATCCATGGACTGATTTGGGGAACTAGACCAGGGATATACAAATGGACAAACAAGAAGGTGCAGCGGACCGGGGGAGTTAGGTACACTTGCCCAAAGTGTTCCAGCTACAGTAACAATGACGATGTTACCTTTGTGTTTGTGCTTGCAGCATCCTTTGATGTTGAATGATTTTTTGTAGTTGCAGTTAGTGCAGAAGCTTGTATACCAGCTGTGGTGGCAAGTTTTGTACACTAACTCATTTTACATTGTGGAAAAACAAACCGCCAAAAATGTGCTATGTGCATAATGTTTTCGTGGCTGCAGAAACTCACAAGCACAAATCACATTAATGGGAGAAGCTTTCACTGAATAGTCCAAATTGTCTGGAAATGGAGGCAGGTGTACTACAGCACCAGCCTACTTTTAAATGATTCCATACAAATACACCAACCGGGTAACCCCTACATGTTCTAGGCATGCTAAGCTGACTATAAATAAACCAGCAGCTGAGCTCAAAAGATGACTGGGCTCTAGCAAAGGAGCTAGTTTGCTAAATCAGCTTTCAGATAACACACAGCATTTGCTTCTTATCAGATATATCCATACAAGCACATTTTGGCCCTGTAGTGACTCAGGGCAGGGGCCCTCTCACTCTGGGTCCTTGGGAGGGCCCCCCCCGGCCTCACTACAGGCACCAAATGCCCTTTGACTAGGAATGGCAGTGTGGACTTCGTTTGGGCTTATTTGCTCTGTGCTATATAACAATGCCTCACTTATGAAGGCCATTTAGCACTGAAACGTTCTCATTTTTCTAAGAGTGAGCTTCTATTGCCACATTGCCTTGGATACATAAACAGTACACACCACTTTTGCCTTATCAGTATTTAATTAGCAGTCAAACAGAAATATTTATGTAGTTAGTTAGTTGTGAAGGAAATAGTCTGTGCTGGCCAAATTCTCAGTTACGCCTGCACAATCCCACTGAAGTTCTAGTGTTTGTAAAGCTGTACAAGAGGGCAGGATCTGGCTTAATGCTTTTGCCACAGACCCAGGCAGGCTTCCTTTGCTGGCTAACCCCCAATCTGCTGCGAAGGAACCCAACCTCTGGATTCCCAGGTATTTTAAACTCCTGGAGGCCCGTCATTGCCTCAGTCTTCGGGTCCCAGAGCACAGAGCCTCTGTCTAGCACTCCCTCCTGAGATCTGGAACCTGCCTATGCTTAAGTGCTTTGCTGACTAGAGATGGAGTTAAGAACATGCTTTAAGTTAAGCGCACACGTGCTTTGGTGAATTGGGGCTGTGGTTACTATGCTGTTAGCATAACCACTTAAAAGATGTTTGGCTAGTTTTAGAGCCTTCAGTCTCAGATAATGACAGTCTCATATACACATCTCAGAATTATACAATCTGTATCTCAACCAGATTGGTGCACCATAATGCAGGGATTCTCAAACTGTGGGTCGGGACCCCAAAGTGGTTATGATCCCGTTTTAAAGGGGTGGCCAAGATTGGTGTTAGACGTGCTGGACTCCAGGGCCCAGGCCCAACTGCCTGGGGCTGAAGTCAAAGCCTGAGCCCCACCACCCAGGGCAGAAGCCCTCAGGCTTCAGCTTTGGTCCTTCCTCCACCAACTGGGGGTAGTGGGGCTTGGGCAGGCTCAGGTCACCCCCTTGTGGAGTAATTTTTGTTGTAGGAAGGGGGTCATGGTGCAATAAAGTTTGAGAACCGCTGCCATAATGAACTTGAGTTGATTTTTCAGTATCAGGCTAATTAAGGAGTCAGAGTCTAAGTCCTACTCCAATGCAAATCTCTTGGCAGGGGTACAGCAAGTGTGGGGGATCCTCTTCAGTCTTAGATCCAGCACAGCTAGCACCTCTGTCTTCCTACCCACAACCCCGGTACATTAGGGGCATGGTGGGGCAGGCAGAGGGACCAGAACATAATGCACTCTGAAAATGAATTGGCAAATGGACCCTAGAGCACTGGAGCTACCAGGTGTGGTTTGGCTTAGCCCCCAGCTTGCTCTAAGATGTACTTGGGGCTGGAGTCAGGGGGATAATCATAGAGCCATAACCAGCTCTCTGACAGACCCCCCCTCTCTGATGCAGCTCACAGAAGCTAGAGCACAGAGAATCTGGCCAAGATAATTTTACATATTTTAATTAAATAATACTATGTTGCATAGACAGCATACATATACTGTGTGTACAAAGATATATACATGGAATTACACAAATACCCATTTCAAGAGGCTGCATTTATGTCACTGGAAATCCCAGGCTCATTGTGTCAGTCAAAAAAGCCCAAAGGAAATAGCTGCAGGTCATTCTCTTGAAATTCTGTGGGATTTGGACACTCAGCTCAGTTGGACTCCTTTGAAAACCCTAAACTTAATTTCTAGGTTCCCAGTAAAGTAGAATAGTGGACTGTAAAACACCCTTTCTTTAGTGGTTTTTGAGTTTAAAAAACTGACGTATTAAAAAAAAATTTAAAAAAAGCTCCAAAAAATCATGTTTTATTTGATTGCTGCTGTTCGGGTGACCTACCACACATGCTTCGGGATCACAACTTCACAAATAACAGAGTTCTTTGAGGCAGTCGTGTTGGCTACAGTCGGAGGCCTCCATGGAGAAATGAAGGTCATCGGAGGTTTTCAGTTCTACTTCTCAGATTTTAGCCAAAGACATTTCCATAGGTGTGTTGAGTGAGTGAGTGCAAAAATGACATTCATTCCAATAGTATGTATGGGACAATTCGGTGGTATGTTGCACTGTAACATGTTCAATCAGTTTGATAGTAGTATTGTGATAAAGTAGGAAAGTACCATGTACAGCTTCCAACATAGTACTTTAACAGCACAAAGTTATTGTGATATTATCTGCTAATTGTTAATACTATTCTAGTGTATGTTCTGATGAAATAGCTTCATTCTATTACTTTTTATCATACAGCTGCGAGGCACTGAGGAATATTTATACTTATGGATAAAGGGTCTGTGATTAAGTTAAAAACCTTATTGAGTACAGTCTTCTTTTTTTGTTTAAAATAATAAAACAAGATGTTGCAAGGTTCAAAAGTCATTGAGGGTGAGCAAATGCACCATTGATAGTTACATCTGCCCAATCATCCAACAGGCAGGACAGTTACTTTCTCCAGAGGCCATTTGCTCCACCAGGAAAGGAATGCGTTTGCTTTTCCAGAAGGGATTATATTTATTGACGGCTCTTCCTGGGAGTAAAGCATTTATTGTCACAATGCTTTCTGTCAACAGTAGAGTAGCAGCCTAGGAGCTTGAGATCAGAGCCCAGTTTAAGTACTGTGACTATCCAAACTTCTGTTCACAATGAACTTGTATTCATTTTTATATTTTCAGAACTTGAGAATGCTCATTATATAGTCCTAGTATCATAATATTGCTTAGCTCTTACACTAAGCATCACTTTTCATATTCACAGCACTTTGCAATCATTAACTTATCTTCACATCGCCACGAGTAAGATAAATAGATAGGAATAATGATCCCCCTTTTGACAGATGGGGTTAACTAAGGCTGAATGGAAATGTGTCTTTCAAAGCTAGAAGTGGGGGTGTCAGTCAGTGAAGTGTTTTTAACGGTAGTTTATTGCAGTTACCTTAACAGCTAAATTACAAAATGACTTGTAACAGACAGTTTAACTAATGGTTAGTGTCATTTACTTTATGAAAACAAGAGGCTAACATGTATTAACAGATTTATTGATCACTTAACCGCCTTAAGATACAATTTTATACAATCAGCAGCAGTAGCATACATTATGAAAAGCTATACTCCTAAGAAACAATGGCGTACACAATATGAAGTTTACTAAAAGTTTTCAAAACAAGCTTTTACAGTGCTAAACAGACTACTGCCATACTTGAACTTTTCCTCTAAACATCAGGAATAATGTTGTTTACTTGACAAAGTAGCTTGTCCATGGTTAACGTGGTTTTAGAAATCAGCCGGACAACTTTAAAAGGTTTAAACATCCACAACATTGTCATTACTTTAACATTCACACTGACAAAGTGATATATTTAATACTTTATAGCATTATTAAACAGTGTAAAAATATATTGCATATATATATATTTGTTTCCTTTTTCCTGAAAAAAACCTAGTACAAACTAGTAGTATACGATTCCCTTTCAAGTGTCTGTCTTTATTTTTTTTGTTAGACTGAATAGTAGTTGAAATGAAACTAAGATCTGGGAACAGAGAATTACTGATGTGCTCCCCCATAACCTCTGTCATAGCTATTAACCCCTTGGCTCACTGGTGGGTTCATCTTTCCTGCCATTAAAGCCAGCGGATGAAATCCTGTCCCCATTGAAGTCAATGGGGCTTTTGCCATTGACTTCAATGGGGCCAGCATTCCACCCGGTGTGTTCTGCAATGAAAAATGCATGGCTCCCTTTATCAAGAGGTGAAATACTGCAGTATGTTTAGCCACTACAGTAAACATTAAGAGATGCTACACTCAAATTGTTCATTTGCAATAATGAAAAAAAATCAGTGATAAATTAGTCAGAAAAAAGTAAACTTGTAAGGTTAAATGATCTTAGTTTTTTACAATGTTGAAAATTTCACAGTGGACACAGTATGCTAGTACAGATGAATGTTAATGTTTGCAATACTAAACATTGACTATAAGGTAATCATAAGCACACAGCAGCTTCCTGGTTTTCTGGGCCAAGATGAAAGACATAAAAAGGAACAAGAAATGATCAGATTAATTTTAGCTATTTATCAGGCTTTACAGGGCTCCAAGGAAGATGAGAATAAGACCTATCTCCATGTTGCAAACAACTATCTGACACAGATTGCGGCTACTACTCTAGCCAAAGCAATTCTCCTTCCACACCAGTGGGCAGGTCCTGACAGTAAGCACATCCAGACATATGTAGATCTGAGACAATATAAGCCAAATCAGATGTGTATATTGGAACAGGATGAGACAGATAAAAGATGTAATTAAAGAGCAAAGGATAATATGCATAAATAAATGGCTATGGCTGAAAATGAATGATAAAAAACATCCAGAAACTGAATTCAAAAAATATTCCTCTGTATAAATATATATTTTTCCGGTGATGTTTAAATTTATGACATGATTAAATCTTGATGAGGATAAACCTCAACCTATATACCCATCATCGACCATTTTTTTAATCTGCAGCATTTCGAGCCAAACAAACCACTTTATACTATTGGCAGTATGGGGGAAAACTTCCTGGTGGATTTGTCTGCTGAGGCGAATATATTCTGAAGCCAGCACAGAGAAAAACACTCTCATGTTACACACTATAATTTGTTGTTGTTTTTGACTTTGTAACTTCATGTAATTCACTGCTTAGTGAATGTACTTTGTCAACAGCTTTAAGCTCTTCTGTGTGTGTCCAGGCTTTTACACAAGGCCTTTATATAGTTAGTAAGAATAATTTACCACAGAAAAATAAAAGGCTGTATTTGATGACTGCATTAACACCAACAGTCTTTAACCGAGCCCATGCTGAACTATTTCATATGTTTAAAATAGCACTTGAGCAAATACCAACACAAATTCATCTACTGTAAACTGGAACCTGAAATAATGCACCATCATCTGGGAGTAGATCACCCTTCTGTCTTGCCTCGTTTTTTTAAACCATCCGTAGAATAACTCCTGGTTAAAATGGAGAGTTATGTGAGGCATGTGAGTATATTTTTTCAAGGCTGTATTTTTAGTTAATTTGAATATAACTTTATTCATGTGGCACTAAAAATCAAAAGTAATTGAATCTTGAGCATGCATTATTAAGAACACTGGCTGAAATAACCACTGAGTGATGGGTCTCTTTAAAACATATATTCAGAAAAAAATTAACAGTACAATGAAAACGGCTTCCTTCAAGTGCCATGTACTTTTCAGTTATTCAGGAAGTTAACAGATGCTTATACATGTATTTCAAAAATTAACTCATCACCTGATGAGTGATTGACTTCAGTGGAGAGTGCTGGATGATCAGCACTTTTCAAAATCAGGCCAGTTATTTGGATACTTAAATAGGAATTTAGGAGCTTAACTTTAGACACCAACTTTGGATAATCTTGGCATTTGTTTGTATACTGTTTACGTTTGCCCAAATAGATCTGTATGCATGAGAAAAGGTGGTACAGTATAATATCCATTTCAGAGTGGCATTAGAACACTTCAATACCACCATGCATGTGTCAATATCCAGCAAATGCACTCACTATTTTCCTTATTTTTAATCAAATTGCCTTGTGTTACAGCAAAAATCCACTTCCCCTTTCCTGCTTTTGTGGGGTAAGGTAGTTTGAATGAAATAAGAGCTAATCCAAACCCCAAATTAATTCCAATCCTTTTTTTCCAACGTTAACAAAAACTAAAATTAGACTTGTCTTTTTACCTTGTTTTGAAATCCACCTCTCTTGCTTCAGTGCAATATAGATGAGGAAATATTGGAAAACTATGAAAAAATAGCTGTCCTTGCAGTATCCCCACGGCTCCTGATCTCATGATCAGTTCTTGGGCAACGGAGGTTCTGTCTGCAGTGCATCCAAACCTTCGGAGGCTACCCCATCACTAGTTTGAAAGGCAACATTTCAAGAGCTTCCTTCTTATATTCCCATTGCTTTGGGGATCTAGCAGGTGATTGTGATGGTAGTAGAGTGTCTCTTGCTGCCTTTATGGATAAAAATATGAAAACAGCCTAGGCCCTATTTTCAAATATTTGGGTGCTCCAATGGTCATGTGGGCATCAAGTGCCAATGTGGGATTTATTTAGGTGTCCAACTGAGGCACCCAGTTTGATTACGTGGCTTGTAGCATTTATTAGGAGTTTAATGCGCATTTGAGCTCTCTGCACTGATGTTTCATATTTTTACTTTTGGGGCTTGTGTAATCATTATGGGCCAACACCTTAGGCCCAGTTCCACAGGAATAAAAGGACACATTTTTAGTCCTTTCCCCCCCAGAAATACATGGGCTCTGCACTGACCTGATTGTTGCTGAGGATGGCTGGCCTGGTGTAGTGGTCTGTACAGTAACTACATACCCGCCTAACGAAAAAGGGCTGCAAAAGTGCATGAGGCCAAAGAGCTCAGGGTATGAATTGGGACTCCCTGCCATGGATAATTGTAAAATGTTGCCTGGCGGGCATGTGAGGGCATCCATTCTGGTGACCTATTGTCCTCGCCCTGACTGATAGCTGTTTCCTTTCCTGGTGGAACATCAGGGGGGCGTGCTCCTGTGATGTTACCCCCCTCTACTCTGTAGCTGCCCTGCAACGTAGTCCAGCGAGGGACAGAGTTGTGGACGCTGCCCTCCAGAACCAGGAACGGGTTAGACTTCTGTGCAGGAGCTATAGAGCTGCCCTGACAGGGATTTCTGTCCTCCATTGTATGGAGAGGGCTTTGCAGCATTAGAGCCACACAGCTCTGGTCCGGTTTTGTGGAAGGGCCAGGATTTGGCCCTGGTAGCTTTAAGTTTTGGATCAGCACGCATATGGCACAAATACTAGTTACATCTACAGCGTCGGTACACACACATACACACCTGCTAACAAACATGTACAAATCTTGGGTATTATATTACTCACTTCTGAGCAATTGGCAGGGTACGTAAAGTACTTCGAGTTTGCTGTACAAAAAGGTGTGGTTACTTTGGCACACACTCAAGGCTAATAGTTTGGAGGGCATGTGCTAATGCATGCAACACATTACATTTTCTCCTTATTATGAGATCAAAATGGTTTGTTTCTTGGCCAATGGAGGGCAGAGAACACCTCTTCATGATTACAAACAGGACACAGATAGATGCCCCCAACAAGTACATCCATACATCACTGTAAGGCAGGGTTATGCTTTAAATATCAAGCAATATGGCATTGCACACAGAGGCACAAAGAATCAAACTTTAGTTTGTAATAGTTAATAGCCTAAAAGAAATAAAAATTGGTTTTCAAATTAGTTTTAAGATGTTTGGGGAAGGGTCAAGTATATGGGGGTACACCCAGCACCGCGAACCAAGTCAGTAAAAATTACTGGTAGATCTGAAGCATGAAATGAAATGTCAGGTGCTGTAAATTAAAAAAAATGAATAGAGTGAGCGGAGGAAAAAAACCAAGCATGGTTCAAAATATTTATTGAAGGTTTAGGCCTCCTATAACCCCAGCACGTTTTCTTGTTGACATAGATCAATAGCATGCGCCGGTGCCATGCTTTAGCCAAAAATATCTTCAGATGGGAATCCCTAAGCTGCTGAAAACTATGAACTTTGAAGAGGCTTTTGAGTTTGAAGATACCAAACAGAAAACCAGCAATAAATCTCTTACTGAAACCACACAGTTACTAGGAAATTTTGGTGAACTGCAAATATTAAATCTGGTGGCTTTATCCTGGCCAGTCTCCCCCGCGTAAAATATTTACTTAATCTGAACTCATAAAAATATTTTATTAGAATTCATCATGTAATAGCTCATGCAGAAGAGCTGTTAAAGCAAAATTGCCCTTTTAAATGCATGCGTTATTTTAAGGCTGTTGTTAGAGCTTCCGTGGCCATAAATAAAAGGACAAAAACGTCCATTACTGAATGCTCTATATAAATGTGATTATTGGGGAAAAATCCTAAAGCGTGAGAGAACTACACTGACTAAACATTAAAGCACATCATGAACTCAAAATAATTTATTAAACTAGCACTAAAGCAAGAATCAAATCTGATTTTTGTGTCACTTCACTTTTTAAAAATCCATTTGTTTCCCCCAGTCAGCACTTTAATTTCTTGGGCCCTGATCCTGCAAAGACTCATAATGCAAGTGCTTAACTTTGCACTCAGGGTGTAAAGTTAAGCACATGTGTAAGGCTTTGCAGGACTGGGCCCTGCCTTGGTGTTAACGTAATCATAAGCATATTATGACTCTGTATTTGGGGGTAGGGAGGGGCACCTCCAGTCAGGCCAACAGTGCCTGCCCCAGGCTTGCAGTTTTCGGCGGGGAAGGGGGATAACGTCCCCTGGTCCCCCCAGACTACACCTATGAATGAAATTTATTTTTAAATTAATTGTGTTCGATTTGTTTCTAAAATATAGATTTTGATATCTGCAATACCACATTTGAAGTATCCTGTCATGTTTCAATACTATGAGCTTCAAAGGATGCAAAATCAAATTATAAATGAAAACAAAAGATGAGGACTGCAAGATTTGTACAGTGACTTTTGTGTGTGTGTGTGTGTGTGTGTGTGTGTGTGAATTGAGAAGCATTGGGTGCTTCAAATCAAACTGACAAGAATACAGTCAGATGTAACAGACTTAGATGCATGGAAAAAGATCACAAGCAGAAAACCTGCAATGTACACAGATCCTGCCTAGGGACCATGCCATTTACCCAGCCTAGAATAATGGTGTACAATAGAAGCACACCTACTTCTACACCGCTTAATGGGGTGCAGCCTGCTGCCTCCTACACATGTGGCTGTTATCCTCCGCACACCCTGCTCTCCAAGTGCAGGGGCTGCCACTGTGCCTAGCCCTCATGCAGGCTACACAAGGGGCAGGCTCTTTGCATCCTTCCCAGCCTGTAAGGGCTAGGCAGACACTGAATCTCAGAAAGTAAGTGTCACTCTTTTGTTGTGTTCTCACCTCCAGTTAGCAGCAGAGAAAAGACTGATCACAAAAGATTTTCTTTCCTACTATCTTCCCTCTTCACCCTCATTTCAAAGTAACTTTTCTTCACCTGTTCTATTTGGCTTTTAAAAATTGACAATTGGAAAAAATATTAAAATAAATATCCATTTAACATTTTAATAGGAAATATAGAAATGCTTCTGTCAACCGATAATGTTGCTGTTGGTGTTATTTTCTTAAGGCCTGATCCAAAGCCCATTGAAGTGAATAGGAGACTTTCCATTGACTTCAGTGCTCTTTGGATAAGGCCCTTATAGAGCATGTTTCTTTTGGTAGGAACTTTTGGTAGGGTTGGAAGGATTCAAGTTTTATCTTTAAATGTTGGTAAACATCCATTTTACTGCACACAAACAAACCAACAGAAAATATTGCCATAGATAATCATCAACATTTATCAATAGGCAACGTAAGAAAAATGCTGCTTGAGAACTTACTAGAATTTGATTTAAGGATATTTACTTTGCGTATTATGACATATGATGTTTACAATTTGTGTTTTAATGGTTGCAAAGCTAACTTTTTTGACTTGCAACATCAACTGTCATTAAATAATGGTCTGACCACCCCCAACTGGGAAAATTTAAAATCAATAAAAATTGGGGGGAGGGGGATGCTTTAAAATAAATATTGATATCTGATGAAATTAGAAAAAAATAAAAATCAAATTCTGCCAAGCCTATTTGTAAGCCAGAAGTAGTGTGCAGTAACTATAGCAATAGTGTTGTTGGTGCTATCAAGCTTGTCTATGCAACAAGGAGTAGTGCAATAGGTCTGTTCCTTTTCAGCATGTAACTATGACCTGCACCCACTAGCCTTAGGGTCAGGACCTACACACACTCCAGACATGGAACTCCTGCACACAGTCAGACCCTTAGGTTGTAAGGCTTCTCAAACACCCAGAGCCACAACTTTAAATCTCTTCACTGCTGTGCCCTGCCACATTTGGGCAGCAGTAGAGCACAGCAGTGCTCTTTGAAGCCTTGACACTCTGTGGGATCAGCAGCATTTCAAAGATGCAATAGCTCCTACACCTCACCCTGCAGGAGGTGGGTACAGCCTGTCACACTAGCTGAGGCAACTTCCTAGTGATGAACAGTGAAGTCAACAGGAGTTGATGGGGCTCAGCAACTTGCAGGACTTGGCCTTCAATTTGGGCTTGATGCAGATCCCATTGGCTTCAGGTCAGGCTCTCAACAGCCATGTGAACTAGGGCTGTCAAGTGATTAAAAAAAAATTATCGCGATTAATCATGCTTTTAATAATAGAATACCATTTCATTAAATATTTATGGATGTTTTCTAGATTTTCAAATATATCGATTTCAATTACAAACACAGAATACTAAGTGTACAGTGCTCACGTTATATTTATTTTTGATTACAAATATTTGCATTGTAAAAAACAAGAGAAATAGTATTTTTTTAATTTACCTCATACAAGTGCTATAGTGCAATCTCTTTATCATGGAAGTTGAACTTACAAATGCAGAATATGTACAAAAAATAACTGCACTCAAAAATAAAACAATGTCAAACTTTAGAGCCTACAAGTCCACTCAGTTCTACTTCAGCCAACCAAATTTGTTTACATTTGCAGGAGATGATGCTGCCTGCTGCTTGTTTTCAATGTCACCTGAAAGTGAGAACCGGTGTTCGCATGGCACTGTTGTAGCAAGATATTTGCGTGCCAGATGCACTAAAGATTCATATGTCCCTTCATGCTTCAACCACCATTCCAGAGGACATGCGTCGATGCCGATGACGGGTTCTGCTTGATAATGATCCAAAGCGGTGCAGACCGATGCATGCTCATTTTCATCATCTGAGTCAGATGCCACCAGCAGAAGGTTGATTTTCTTTTTTGGTGGTTCGGGTTCTGTAGTTTCCACATCTGAGTGTTGCTCTTTTAAGACTTGTGAAAGCATGGTCCACACCTTGTCCCTCTCAGATTTTGGATGGCATTTCAGATTCTTAAACCTTGAGTATAGTCCTGTAGCTATTTTTAGATAACTCACATTGGTACCTTCTTTGCGTTTTGTCAAATCTGCTGTGAAAGTGTTCTTAAAATGAATATGTGCTGGGTCATCATCCGAGACAGCTATAACATGAAAGATATGGCAGAATGTGGGTAAAACAGAGCAGGAGACATACAATTCTCCCTCAAGGAGTTCAGTCACAAATTTAATTAATGCATTATTTTTTAACAAACGTCATCAGCATGGAAGCATGTCCTCTAGAATGGTGGCCAAAGCATGAAGGGGCATCCGAATGTTTAGCATATCTGGCATGTAAATACCTTGCAACGCTGGCTACAAAAGTGACATGCGAATGCCTGTTCTCACTTTCAGGTGACACTGTAAACAAGAAGCAAGCATTAGTATCTCCCGTAAATGTAAACAAACTTGTTTGTCTGAGCGATTGGCTGAAGTAGGACTGAGTGGATGTGGCTCTAAAGTTTTACATTGTTTTGTTTTGAGTGCAGTTATGTAACCAAAAAAAAAAAATCTACATTTGTGAGTTGCACTTTCACGATTAATGAGATTGCGCTACAGCGCTTGTATGAAGTGAATTGAAAAATACTATTTTATAATTTTTACAGAGCAAATGTTTGTAACCAAAAATAACAAAGTGAGCAATGTACATTTTGTATTCCGTGTTGTAATAGAAATCAATATATTTGAAAATGTAGAAAAACATCCAACAATATTTAATAAATTTCAGTTAGTATTCTATTGTTTAACAGTGTGCTTAATCGCAATTAATTTTTTTAATCACAATAATTTTGGGGGGTTAATCGCATGAGTTAACTGAAATGAATTGACAGCGCTAATGTGATCTTTGCGATATTCAGCTTTGGTAGTGTTTTACAAATAATTCAAGGTTTGTTACACATCCGTTGCAGTAAAATGACTGTCCTTGAGCACTATCCAGATTTGTAGCTTTATAGGACATTTCAGGAAGGAATGTGTTCTCTAGTCTACACTTTACCAGTTACTCTGTGTTCCACTGCTTTTCTGGAATTAATTGGGCATAAAAAATATCTGAAAGTGGGTTTATGCTGTTACTTCTCCTTGAAGGGGAAGGCAGGTAGCCAGTATGATGTGTAAATGGATAACCTTTCCTTTTCCAGGAACTGGATGGTTCAGGAAAAGTGGATAACTTTGAAACGCTTGGAAAGGCTTCACAAACAAATATTTCCACACACTGACAGTCCTGGTGTATCTGTAAAATTGTGTCAGGTAACCAGAGCCACCAAGGAGGGCTTAAAGCGGAAAACACACAAACAAGACCTTTTAAAAGCATGCACTGGGTTGCGCAGACTTCCCTCTCTCCTGAAAACCAAAATCAAAACAAACTATAATCAAACAAACAAACAAAAAATTCCAAGCCCATGAGGGACTACTTCTCTTTATTTATTGTTATTTTGGTTTCACGTTCATGTGTTGGTTTGAAAGGTCAGTGGTGGCAAAGTTACAAAAAAGAGTTCTATAGAAAGTCAGCAGAATTAAAAGACCGTCTGTTCAAAGGATGAGAACCTGTGTTCAGTGTCTGGACATGTGCCAAATACAGGGTATTGGCCTGCATGAAAAACTAGCATATGTTACTGCTTACTGTATATAAGTAGCTCACTAACGCTACCTGTTCGGTGTACATTAGAACCCTGACACAGATGGTGGCAGAGAGGCAACAGAAGTGTGTACTATCTGTACTATCTGAAGTTATAAAGTTAATGCTTGAACTTCAGTTAATAGAAAGCAAAGCAGAATTTTAAATGGTTGTAATCAAATACCCAACTAAAAGTCCTCCTTTATCATTTTATATTATACATTGTGGTGCTTATTCTGCTTTGTGGAATATCAATAACCACATGTAGGATATAGAGATCAGCTAATGAGCCCCTACACTTTTTCTGTATGGATATTTCTCCTTACTTTTTAAGCAATATCAAATGAGTGAGATTTTTTCAGTGATTTATCAATTAATACCACTTGTTATGGTAGCCATATATGGGATACTTGTGGCCAGTTTGTTAGATCATTAAGACCGTGGTCCTGATTCTCCTCTTACAGCAGCTCTAAACCAGTGGAAATTGATTGCCTTCAAGGAATTATTCCTGACTTACACTGGACAGTCCAAATAAGAGGAGAAGAGAGCCCCTAGCTTCAAACATAGAACACTTAACAAATAATGTAGCTAACGTTCGTAATATATCTTTAGAGGGGGTGAGACGCACCTAACTGTAAAATAAAGGACTAACAAATTACTATTTTGTGGTGATAATTTAGTTGTCCTTACTTGAACTTCGGTATTGCAGAGCTGTCCCAGACCTTCCTTAACGCAGTCACAACTTAAAAAGGAGCATGTGCCTGTGTATGTGTGTACATGTGCATGAGAATATGTGCCTAGCTCAATGAAACTCTGATCAGTGGTGTTTAGTTCACACTTAACATAAAGTTTAAAACGTATAATCCATCATCTTAATGCCCCCTTCACTTGCCCTGTGCAGACCAAAAACCAGATTGCAACCAAGATTAATATTTCTATCACGACTTCTTTAGCAATATATCTAGCTCCTCCATAGATCATGTTAGTACATTAGCGCCTTTTATGTCCTGTGGTTTCAGTTAGAACCATGCTACCAATACATGCGGTAACTTGCAGGAAGTACAGTATTGGTTTTGAGAAGTCCTGGGCTTTGGGGGGTAAAGAGACGAAGGCTAGTATCTTCCACATCTTTCTGCTGACAAATACATTGGAACCTAAATAGTCTCAGCAAGGAGGAATAAGTCTTTCGTTGTTCACCAGTGGTCTAGGAAAATCTATTTCTTTTCAGGATAGCAACCTGTTATATTACAACCATTTACTTCCCACTAGTACAATACTGAATTTTTGTCTTTGAGGACAGAGCTGGATCCTCTTTAAGACATCTTTCAAATAAATAAGTATTCAAATCAAACTACATAAATATTGGGGTGCTCTTTGGAAAGGCTGCTATCACAGGAAAATTTACAGTGACCCTCTTTTCAACTATCTGGAGAGTGGTTTTCTTCTATACCCAAGAAAGAACTGGACATTTAGGAATGTTTGAGATCTTTTACCAGTATTGACTAAGTGTGGTAGAACAGCCCTTCCATTTGGTTTCTTGTCTAAAGCTCAACAACTTTGTATTTGATATTTTCGCCAATGTAAGCATGAGGAATGTAATGAAGTGTTGCTGTGCTTGCAAGTATCTCAGCGGATGTTGAAATCAGTTCCAGTTCCTGAAAACACTTCTCGCCAACATAGTCTTCACATTCATGATAACTGAAACATGTGGGATTCATCTACATCATTCTTACAGGTATATTCTCTCTTTTTAACCCCCCCAGGCTTACTTGCTTCCTTGTACTTTATGATCATATGTGCCTGCGTGCTTGTACCCAGGCACATAGCCCGACGCATCAACCAGGTCTTCTCGTCCTGCTTTGCCTCTTCCTTTCCCACTTGGATCAAACCTCTCTTTGTGGGAACCAGTGAATTTTGTCGTGTCTGTAAGTCGTGATACAGTTGGAGATGAAATGGTTTTCTATTGGGAGAAAGACAACACAAGAAAATACTTTTCATTGAAAAGAAAACTACTTTTAACGTTATAAATCATTAACTACTGTTGATATCGGAACTGCAGAGTAGTGATGCCTTTTAACAGACCAAAAATAAATGAGAAATGTTAGTTTTGTGGCACTGGATGTAATGACTTCATTAGTTACAAATTGGAGTACAGAATGGCTTTGGGCATGAATTTTCAAAAGCGGCTTCCTATTTGGGGTGGGGAGGGTGGAACATCTGGATTCATGTCCCTACTCCAATGAATATCCAGATAAGTGCCCTACCCATCAAGCTATGGAGTCACACTCTTTCTGGCCTAATACATAATTATTTTTTAAAAAGTGGAAAAGCTTCAGCAGAACAGATTTAGAGAGAATATCCTATCGCCCAATGGTTAGGGTAGTCTCCTGGGAGATAGGTGACCTGGGTTCAAATCCCTGCTCCACATGAGACTAGGAGAACCTCAGTTTCCCACGTCCTGGGTGAGTGCTCTGGCTACTGGGCAAAAGGCGGGGGTGGTACCACTAAAACCACATTTTTGGGCAAGAAATAGGTGACCTGGCTTTTACTCAACAGTCGGGGTGAAAGGAGAGAAAAAGGTGTTTCACAAAGCCATGCGGGATCATGAGAACTTCATTTGTGACCAGAAGCGGAGGTGAGATAGTGGCCATCTTGGACAATTTAGCTTTGTAGATTTATAGTTAAGTCAGAGGAGAAGAGAAAAAATACAAACCCCCAGTTTACACCTCTGTGGTTTTTGCATTGTGGCAGAAGACAGAGAAGGTGTGACATCTTTGGTGTGGTCAGTTGATGCACCTGGCACTAAGATGATCAATGTCCAATAATACTGCTCACCTCTCTTATGCGGGTGCTGCAGAATTAGTAATTGTTTATTCCGTATTTTAAAGACAAAGTGCCAGTACTATTTTTGTAGAAAGAAAAGGAGTACTTGTGGCACCTTAGAGACTAACCAATTTATTTGAGCATGAGCTTTCGTGAGCCACAGCTCACTTCATCAGATGTGTACCGTGGAAACTGCAGCAGACTTTATATACACACAGAGAATATGAAACAATACCTCCTCTCACCCCACTGTCCTGCTGGTAATAGCTTATCTAAAGTGATCAGCAGGTGGGCCATTTCCAGCACAAATCCAGGTTTTCTCACCCTCCACCCCCCCACACAAATTCACTCTCCTGCTGGTGCTAGCCCATCCAAAGTGACAACTCTTTACATAATCAAGTCGGGCTATTTCCTGCATAGATCCAGGTTCTCTCACTTCCCCCCCACCCCCATACACACACAAACTCACTCTCCTGCTGGTCTAAACTGACCACTCTCCAAGTTTAAATCCAAGTTAAACCAGAATATCTGGGGGGGGGGGGGTAGGAAAAAACAAGAGGAAACAGGCTACCTTGCATAATGACTTAGCCATTCCCAGTCTCTATTTAAGCCTAAATTAATAGTATCCAATTTGCAAATGAATTCCAATTCAGCAGTTTCTCGCTGGAGTCTGGATTTGAAGTTTTTTTGTTTTAAGATAGCGACCTTCATGTCTGTGATTGCGTGACCAGAGAGATTGAAGTGTTCTCCGACTGGTTTATGAATGTTATAATTCTTGACATCTGATTTGTGTCCATTTATTCTTTTACGTAGAGACTGTCCAGTTTGACCAATGTACATGGCAGAGGGGCATTGCTAGCACATGATGGCATATATCACATTGGTGGATGTGCAGGTGAACGAGCCTCTGATAGTGTGGCTGATGTTATTAGGCCCTGTGATGGTGTCCCCTGAATAGATATGTGGGCACAATTGGCAACGGGCTTTGTTGCAAGGATAAGTTCCTGGGTTAGTGGTTCTGTTGTGTGGTATGTGGTTGTTGGTGAGTATTTGCTTCAGGTTGCGGGGCTGTCTGTAGGCAAGGACTGGCCTGTCTCCCAAGACTTGTGAGAGTGTTGGGTCATCCTTTAGGATAGGTTGTAGATCCTTAATAATGCGTTGGAGGGGTTTTAGTTGGGGGCTGAAGGTGACCGCTAGTGGCGTTCTGTTATTTTCTTTGTTAGGCCTGTCCTGTAGTAGGTAACTTCTGGGAACTCTTCTGGCTCTATCAATCTGTTTCTTTACTTCTGCAGGTGGGTATTGTAGTTGTAAGAAAGCTTGACAGAGATCTTGTAGGTGTTTGTCTCTGTCTGAGGGGTTGGAGCAAATGCGGTTGTATCGCAGAGCTTGGCTGTAGACGATGGATCGTGTGGTGTGGTCAGGGTGAAAGCTGGAGGCATGCAGGTAGGAATAGCGGTCAGTAGGTTTCCGGTATAGGGTGGTGTTTATGTGGCCATTGTTTATTAGCACTGTAGTGTCCAGGAAGTGGATCTCTTGTGTGGACTGGACCAGGCTGAGGTTGGTGGTGGGATGGAAATTGTTGAAATCCCAGAAGTTACCTACTACAGGACAGGCCTAACAAAGAAAATAACAGAACGCCACTAGCGGTCACCTTCAGCCCCCAACTAAAACCCCTCCAACGCATTATTAAGGATCTACAACCTATCCTAAAGGATGGCCCAACACTCTCACAAGTCTTGGGTGACAGGCCAGTCCTTGCCTACAGACAGCCCCGCAACCTGAAGCAAATACTCACCAACAACCACATACCACACAACAGAACCACTAACCCAGGAACTTATCCTTGCAACAAAGCCCGTTGCCAATTGTGCCCACATATCTATTCAGGGGACACCATCACAGGGCCTAATAACATCAGCCACACTATCAGAGGCTCGTTCACCTGCACATCCACCAATGTGATATATGCCGTCATGTGCCAGCAATGCCCCTCTGCCATGTACATTGGTCAAACTGGACAGTCTCTACGTAAAAGAATAAATGGACACAAATCAGATGTCAAGAATTATAACATTCATAAACCAGTCGGAGAACACTTCAATCTCTCTGGTCACGCAATCACAGACATGAAGGTCGCTATCTTAAAACAAAAAAACTTCAAATCCAGACTCCAGCGAGAAACTGCTGAATTGGAATTCATTTGCAAATTGGATACTATTAATTTAGGCTTAAATAGAGACTGGGAATGGCTAAGTCATTATGCAAGGTAGCCTGTTTCCTCTTGTTTTTTCCTTCCCCCCCCCCCCCCCCAGATATTCTGGTTTAACTTGGATTTAAACTTGGAGAGTGGTCAGTTTAGACCAGCAGGAGAGTGAGTTTGTGTGTGTATGGGGGTGGGGGGGAAGTGAGAGAACCTGGATCTATGCAGGAAATAGCCCGACTTGATTATGTAAAGAGTTGTCACTTTGGATGGGCTAGCACCAGCAGGAGAGTGAATTTGTGTGGGGGGGTGGAGGGTGAGAAAACCTGGATTTGTGCTGGAAATGGCCCACCTGCTGATCACTTTAGATAAGCTATTACCAGCAGGACAGTGGGGTGAGAGGAAGTATTGTTTCATATTCTCTGTGTGTATATAAAGTCTGCTGCAGTTTCCACGGTACACATCTGATGAAGTGAGCTGTGGCTCACGAAAGCTCATGCTCAAATAAATTGGTTAGTCTCTAAGGTGCCACAAGTACTCCTTTTCTTTCTGCGAATACAGACTAACACGGCTGTTCCTCTGAAACCTACTATTTTTGTGCGGTCCAGTGCATGTTAGGGGAAAGAAAGTGCTTTCTTTGAGACAAAGCCCCCTTCAGGACAAAAGAGAATAGTTAACATGCAATTGTTTGCTGTCTTTTAGGTTTCTTTCTTGATTTACAAAAACTTACAGTACAAAGGATTCTTGACATGAAACACATTCTGGTAAAAAAAAAAAATCTAAAAAAATAATTCACGAAAGATTTCATAATTTCAAAGTTGTTTCTGTTTGCAGGTTTTGAAAGACTTAAAAAAAAAAAAACCAAACATTTTTTTTTATCTAAACCCACTTTTCAGCAAACCAGTGTTGATAATAATTTTGATAACATTGGGAATAAAAATGATAAAAATCACCAAAAAAACCCACCTCTTGGATAGATTTCAGCAATGCAATATACCTTCAGCCCTTAGGAAACTTCAGCTAGCACAAAATGCTGCAGTGCACAGGTGACTGACAGCATACCAGACCCGCCCTCTACACTGGCTTCCCAGAGTATTTCTAATCAAGTTCAAGGTCTCAGTCCTTATCTTCAAAGCGCCATAGTGTGGGCTCAGGATATCTACAAGACTGCCGGCCGTAACTGACAGTTACTCTCCTCTGGTACAATGGAACTCTCAACAACAAGAGGAAAGCTTTTCTGTGCAGAACCTTCTCTAGGGGTCGTCTCAGTTCCTGGGATGAACTCTCCCAGGAACTAAAGGACCATCACGATCTCCCCACCTGCCTTCTCTACTATAAACACATAGCAACAGGTACACAAGAATAACAACACCCTATCAAACCAAGACACTCCATCACACACGCTTCTCCCTCTGGGGAGCCGATGAGAGAACAAACACCACGACCGATGTGTAATCACACTGCTAGATGCACTACTGGAAGGCGCTCAGATACTACAGCAATAAGTGCAGTATAAAAACCTAAACAGAACACAAAAAAATTCACAACCCTCTATCTCTCCACCCCACCCCTCCAAAATACCCCAAAAGTTGTTTTCCATTTTTTTTTAAATAAGGGAAAAAAATTAATGGAGGACAACTTTGTTTTGTTTAATAAAGAAAAATAAGGAGATTTCTCCACAAAATAGTTTTGTTAGAAGAAATGTGACCAGTCTATCTGGTCACATTAGCAGACAAACAACTTCCATTAAATACAACACAACTCAAATATGTACCCCCTTTGTCAAGAGAGCTGAGAGAAGAAAAGCACTACTTTCACTTTGTCCTAAAGGTCAACACACTCAGGTTTTAGTACACCAAAGGCAGATACAGACTCCAATGTCAAGGCCCCTCCACCGCTGAGAGCAACGTGCCCCCATCACCAATTAAATAATGAAG